GGATAAGTGTTATAGAAGAGAAACATTCTGCACATGGAAAACTCAATCATTTATAAAAAATTAGTGCCACTAAGTGTTAAAGCAAAAAAAAAAATCAATGTCTTTTATCGTGGATGTATAGATAATTTAAAATAACAATTAAGTTGAAAATAGTGAGTTTGTCACTTTACTTGAGTTTTTAGTTGAAGTCTGTAAAGATAACTTCAATGTTCAAACTGAATACATAGCAAAATCTTTAATAATTAATTGATAAAATTTGAAATAATATTAATTGCTAATTTATGGCTTGATATATTATATGCAATAATAAGTCCCATATCAGTGTATTTGCAAACTAAATCAATTGACTATTTATATGCTTGGAATATGATTGAAACTTTACAGGAGAAAATTGATAAAAAAATTAATGAAAATTACCTAAACTCTCAGTATATAAAATGCAAATTCTTTGCCCCAAAAAAATGAATTTTTTTTTTATAAAGAAAGCCTGATAAATATTCAAGAAGATCTTCCTATTAAGCATATTCAAAAATAAAAAATAAACATTCTCTGAAGAAAATTGTTCAGATGAAGTTAGAATTATAACACCTTACACAAAATTTAAATCAAATACTTATTCCATCGTAGATACTATTCTGAATAGCATAAAAACACGATTTGTACCTGATAAAATGTTATTAAAAGATTTTAATTGGCTAGATCCTAAAATATTTTCTTTTATTAATAAACTTGAATAATTTCCCAAAGACTCATTGAACACAAAATGTAAATTAGCAGATTTAGCCCAAGAGATCATTGCAGTTGAGTTAAAACAGTTTTCTCGCCAGTATAGCAACTTTATACCAGAAGTATCTAAAAATGATTTTCATGATAATAAATCTAAATCTTTTAAAATTATACATATTGAAGAAGAGGAAATATTGAAGTTAAACCCATCGAACAAATTAAATGTAAAAAATGCACTAAATGTCTATACTGTGCATTCATTTTTCTCCCAGAGCTGTCATACTAATCTATTCTAATTTATATATAATGTGAATTTGTTCACATTATATATATTTCATTTGCTATTACCATCAACACAGACTATCTATGAAATAATATTTTCATAGTTGAAAATAATTAAAACATAATTTCAGTTTTCTTTACACCAAGAACATCTTAATCCATTGATGCTAATGTCCATCAAAGGATATTTTAATTGACTCAGATAAATTAATTGATACAAAATTACTAACTTATCTAGTCTACTAAATAAATTACTTATACAAAAAAAAATTAATTGTACAATTAATTTTGAATTTTAATAAATTTCATTAAAAATATTAAGTTGTATAATATTATAAAGTATTATTTGTATTATGTAAAAAATTTTTAGAATAAGAAATAATTACTTTAACTTGGCTCTTAACTTAATTGTTGTTTTATTTTAAATAAAGTATTTTTTAAAAATTATAGTATTTTGCATTACTTATAAGCACTATTTTGTTATTTAATAAAATAATAATATTTTTGGGAAGCCCTTCTGAAGAAATGCATCCAAGGCTCTTAAGGTACTAGACTGGCACTGCAGCCATTGGCCGTTATAAACATTCACTATACAAACTACATATCATGGTTACAGAAATTAAATAATAAATATGTTCATGGTAATTAGTGATGGGCACTATTGAATAGTCGTTATCAAACTATAATATTTAATAGTTCACTATTCGAACTGTTCAATAGTCATTCCATAACTATTCTAATAAGAAAACTATATGAACAGTTAATCAAATAATTTTAATGTATTATATTTAAAAATGTTATCAAATAATTTTTAATTAATCGAACTTCAATTATTTTAAATTTAAAAACTATTCAAATAAACTATCAAAACATAGTTATAAGTTTTAACTTGATAATTTGTTAATTGTCATCATACTCAATAATCAATATACCCAATAGCTAATATTATTTAGTTTATTAGTAGTAAAATTAAACTAATTTATTTTATTATTTATATATGGATTTGGAAGGAATTACATCAGATTTAAATTTTAGAGTTCTTTAAATTTAAGCATAATTTTGAACAGTATCTTTATTTACTTGTTAATATATAATTATTAATTTTTAAAGAAAATTGCTACAACTTCTATTTTCAAATTTTCTGTAGACCAACAAAAAAAATATATTTTTTAAACAACACTTTTGTTAAAAGTTTAAAATTTAAATATCAAAAAACATCACCACTTAAATACCATTATATTGACTAAATTATGTTGTGAAACATACCTATTTAACATTTAGTTATTAAAACCAAACTGTAAAAAAAAATTTTAATTAAATATTGATGAACCAATAATTTATGATGTTTATTTCCTGTTTTCAAAATCCAAATTTGTTATAAATACTAGATAAGAAACATACTAACATTGCAAACACAAATAACCAATATTGTACATATATATATAAAGTATTACATCCATGACATTAGTGAATTATCAATGCCAATTCAATAAACTTAGTTTTATAAACGCAAAATTACACTTTAAACAATATTTTTATCTCAAAATATAAGCGGGGGTCCTAAGCACCACCTGGCACTTTCATAAGCGCCAATGGTTTTCTTAAAAATTGAAATGTTCAAATAGTTTGAAAAAATAAAACTATTTGATAGTGCAATTCAAATAGTCCACCAAACTATTTAATAATTTACCAGACTATTCGATAGTTTTTATTAAAAAACTATTAATCAGTTAAGTTAAAAACATTCTAATATCTATTCGATAGTTTATCCAAATCATCAAATATTATTCAATAATGCCCTGATAGTAATCACTGATCAGACATAAATAAAATTATAAACTACTTCAATAACCAGTAAATTTCCTATTCTTATATATCTCAGTATGATCATAATACAACTATAGGTAATATTCTATTAATAGCTTATACTCATTATTTTTACTGTGTGAGATAATACAAAATTTCAAACTAAACCAAATTCAATAATTATAACACTAACTTACAATCATTTTTTATTTTATTTTTTATTTATACAATTAAAGAACATTGATTATTTGTTTATATTTTGTACATGTTAACGTCAATTTACCTATTCAATTTTAAAATACCATTATTGAACTTTTTTTAACCTAACATTATACACAATAAATAAAAATGTATTTACATTATTTTATGAAATATTTTGTTATTCAATTTTTGTTAAGTATTTTATACATTAACTCTAACATTTACTCTACAATTTTTAAAATGTTTTAAAATATATACATTTTCTAATAATTTTGGTTAATAAATTATCTATATTTAAAAATAAATTAAACTTTGAAATCTTCAATTTGGATAAAAAATATATTGTTTAAATTAGTTACATATACTACAGTTAGAAGTGTACTATAAGTATATTTATTTAAATTCTAATAGCTAATTTTAGATTTTGAGTGAAAAAGAAATATTTTTGCTTTTATATATAAGCTTATTATAAGACAATTACAAAGTAATGCACGGAAACTTTTAAAATGATGCCAAATAGTTAGAAAATTTGATAACCATTTGAAGTTATTGAGTAAATGTATTTTAAGAGCTATAAAGCCACTCAAGATTTAATAAAAATAAACTTGCCTATAGAAGATTATTTAATTTTTTTGATCGCTTAAAAATAAAACATTTACATAATAATTTAATTTCTCACCTCCTATAAGTAGTGTTTGGCAAGCTCATCATGCTATATGGTATTAAAAATAATGTATTGCTTGTTTGTAAAAATATGCTATTGTAGTTATTTTATTAATATTATATATTTTAGTTAACTTCTAAAGAAAAGTTTGATTTATTAAACAAAAATAGATATCCAAATCCGGCTTTCAAATGTCCATTATCAGGTTAAAGGAAACTAAAATTTCAATATGCATTGTTTATTCGCTGGAAATGGCAAGTTTATTCAATAAGTGAACTAATTAATGTATGTACACATTTATAAGCTAGTTTTGTCTTTGGATCATCACAATTCACTTAAACATATCATTACTTATAACAAATATTACCTTCCCCCCATTAAAATTCTTGGGAATACTGTATGTGTACAGTGTTGTTATCTAAAATATTTTATTAGTTTATGACATATATGTACTAATATAAATCATTATTAACAATATTGAACTTTATTAACTATACTACAAAATAATTAAGTAACACCAGCACTAAATGTTTGTCAATATGTCATAGATATAAAAGGGTAAAAATGTATACCTCAGGAATCTTGCAAATTTCATATGACTACAATAAATTTTCGAAAGACAAGTCAATCTGAACACACTACTAGGAGTAAATGTATAAAATCTAACTCAAATGGAGACAAATGAACGCAAGGACAAAATCATATTAATATTACATACCAATATGTATTACAATAATATAACAATTAACATAAGAAAAAGAGTGAAATAAGTATAAAACATTATAATTTATAAACATACTTTTTATTCAAATATTTGTGTAACTAAAAACGTTGCTGAAAATATAATAATTAAAAATGTAATTGTTACTGTACAAAAATATTTTGGGCTATCTCCTCTCAAAATAACAAAATTTCACTTCATTCATAATTTTCTAATTATTTTTAAAACCCTCTCATCAACATCAATATAGTTTTCATGGATAATCCCTAATATCATTATAAAACTAAAATGTTATATGTATAATATGTTATATATTGTTATATTATTATTATAGGTATTACTGGTATTAGGTATGTGTAAAAGTAAAAGAATTGAATTAAAATTGAATATTATTCTCGCGTCTAAACGGCGGCGTCAAAATAGCAGCGTCCAAAATTAAAACAAGCGCATAAATTTGTCCTCGATCGAATTTTACTTACTTGTAATGTTACTGCCATTCGAGAACACGGAAAATAATATAATTAAAAAGATCGTTTCATAAATACATTTCTACAAAATAAAACGGTTTTTTAAATAATTATTATATTAAAATGTTTTTACCTTGAAATGGTTGCGCGTAATCAACGATTTTGAGTTATAAATTGCAGTCACAACTGTAAAACGAATATTAATAAGTTTTTAAACTTCAAATAACTTGTTCACTAATGTTAATACTTCTTAGCCACTAGGAGTAAATACTTTTCAGTCAGCTACAACACCGATAGTAAACAGTAGAGATATGGCAAAATACTCTATGCCCAAAAATTCAGGAAAAATGGACGACTAAGGTGGATATATAGAGGTGTAAACACTTCCTATCTTGTATCATTATAATAGTTGGCTGAAAAAAGTACACCACTTGAGACTGCCACCGGGAGCACTGACTACCCGATGAGGGCTCAAAAATATTAAATTTGTATGGCGCGAAATACATTTTTGGATTTATTTTTTCTTATTTCATAATATATTTAGGAATTACAAGTGCTATGGACTTCACGCCCTAATATAATTAATATTTTTTATTTTAAATAGTGTAACTTTAAACGTATTATATGTGTATATGGTACTTTTAATGCATATAATATCTTAATAATTTGAAAAACATTTACAATTACAAGAAGGTAAGTAGGTACCTAATAGTTTTTATTTATATTAATTTTGATATTTTTTTTAATCTTTTAATAGTATTTTTCTTATATGATATTTGATCGTTATGCCTTGTGCATGCAAATATCATTCTGGTGTTCAAATAGAAATTAACAACATGTTTTGTTAATTCATTTTGATATTCCAGACAGCCAACTTTGGAAGGGACTCCAGTAATGTTAACTTCATCCATAACTATAGAATAATGTTCCATATCCACAATGTTAAAAAAAGTCACTCAAAATTTGATCAGAATAAAAGTAACACGAATCTATACGATATGATCTAAAAGTCAATTATAATAAAAAAAAAAGGTATTGATCAAAAATTTGTTGACTATTTAGTTCATTTGTCATATTTTAATTATCTAAATAATATTTTAAAAAAGAAAGAAAGGTAGCTTAAAGATGGTAGTTAAACCAAATTGTTTTCAGTATACTTGTACCTACTTGTATTTGTATTATTTAATAAATTGTTTTTTTTTAATAAAAAAAAAATATACATATGAATTATTCATTGAATATACATAATATATAATAATAATATAATAATTAATAGGTAATTATTAATTATTAATTAATATAAGAAATATCTACCTTTAGTGGATGAAATACCGAAGGCAGTTTTATTCCCTGCTGTTTAAATATTTGATTTTGTTTGGGTAACCCAGAGTTACACCCAGGCACAAAACACTTAAGAGGCATACTTGATTAATAAAAAAAATTAAATTTCAATGAGTATATTATATAGGTACAAAGTACTTAAATGAATAACTTCAAAAGAGTATAGAATATCTAATATGATGTAAATATTGTCATTATACACATATATTAAATATTTTAGAGATATTTCTATTGAGTAATATTTTAAATATATACCTATAATAATACCTAGTATTTTCAATATTATGCCTTACCTAGAATAACTACAATATGTTTGTACAAAAATAAACATATCATGTCAAGGAGACTAAGGAAAGGAAGCAAATCGAAGAAATAACAAATTTACAATTCCTTTAATTTATATTTATTATGCCAATGGTTACAATAAATTGTAATTTTTAATTATTTTATATATGTTAATCAAAATTCATCCAAATTATTCATTATTTAAATTTAATTGTTATATTATTTTTTTATGGCTTTGCAAGCATCGAGCATCGTATTTTCGTATAGAAATATGAACATTATGAGCCTTAATCGGGTAGGCAACGCTCCCGGTGGAAATCACAAGTGATGTACATTTTTCAATCAACTTTTAATCGAAGTTTTTACACCTTTATATATCCACCTTGTGTACGAAAATACTGCAATTGGTTTCCCGTAAATATGCTACAGCTGGTTTTTCGTAGGTATGCTATGCTGCCATGAGGTCTGTCATGGCGCTTATTGACTACGGCGATCCGGTTGTATACAGCCTGAACGTATTTTTTCAACACTCCACGTACATACAAGGGGGGGACCACGTTTTTCCTCCCCGCCGCGGGGGGGTGGGTCTACTATCCTCTTTTGGTTTCGCTTTGGAACGGGTGCGGGATTTGGGGGGGGGGGTCGTGGGGGGGTCCCCCTTCTTTTTTAATTTTTTTTTAGCGTACCCCTTCTATTTGCCCCCACGGTAATGTGACGGTTAATTTTGTGTGGAACACTCGTTTATCAAATATCCGATGAGTCTCCCTTCTATTTTTTTTCCAAATCAAGCACTGCTTATAACGTTCCGTAAACACGGCGGCGAGCACCAACCGCCGACAGAACACGATAAGTACCGATAACTGTAGTTATTGACGGCGGGCTTACCTGTGCGATTCTACAGTGGTGAGGTTGATCATCATATTATGTATTTTCAAATTTCAAAATGCCCATATCGTTCTGAGCGCATGAAAGACTTAAGACGCTACTGGTTAAGAACCAAAGAACCCTTATTTAAAAACAGATTTGACAGAGGTCATACGCTAGTGTTTCATACGAAAACATTATATTATACCTTCAGTGTGGTAACGATAAACGATTACAATCGTTATTTTATCTTAAAGGATTCCATTTTTAATGATCAATCTGTTTACCTAATCATACAATGTCATGACAAGGGACCCGATTTATATGCACAAAAAATCTTCAAAATATGCTTTTAAAAATGCTGTAATATGTTATAGAATATGTATTTATTAAAAACATCTAAAAATTAATCTACATAAATGTATTTTGAAAATGTCATTGAGTGTAGTAAAATTCATAATACACTTAAAATTTTAGTTTTACACAAACAATTTTTAAAAATTGCAATAAAATAATAATATAATTATACATTGTTTAAGTATGTAATTTTGTCTAAATTTGTTTGAAAAAAAAAAAATTGTACTTAAATATGTTTTGTTTTAGTATGAAGTATGAACTACTTTCAACTTTATATTACATTTTAAAATTTAACAATATCTATGAAATAATTAAAAATAATGAATTTATTCTAATGTCCATAAATAGTTTAAAAAGAGATAAAATATTTTTAAAGTTACACTTTTATTAGAAATGCTAGCATAAACATTCAATGAAAAATTCATCTATCTTCAGTTTTTTGTTTTGGAATTATACTAAGAAAAATAAATTTTTTTTTTAAAACTTGATTTTGCATAAAAATTTCTGTTTTTCCTTATTTTTCTATTTTTTTGACAATTTTTAAAAATGGTGGACATTTTTCATTTTTCACTTTCCCAAAATATCTAATAGACTTAAATTAATAAGAGAAACAAAAAACATAAAATAAAAAACACATATCATTGTAAAATCAAATCATTCTTAGAGTATAAATCTGAATTAAAAATACTCTATGGTTAAAATTTAAAATCATTTAAATTTTTCATGATCTAATAATTAAGTAAATACAAATGAATAATTTCTTATACTGTTACAGTATCTAGGTAATACGAAGGTGTAATATAGGGACGTTACAAAGGAATAATAGGATGAATTTTTAACAAAATAATTAATTAATATTTAAAAAAAAAAGATTTATGTATAAGTGTGTGACCCAAGTGGTAACTAAATAATAATTAACTTAACTTACTTTTAGATTTTAAATGTTTGAGTTATTCATATAACTTTGTAACTTTTATAGTTAAATTTATTATTTATTAACTATAAATTTATTACTTAATGTTATTAACCTATCTTTAATTAGATAATTATTTATTTATTATTTTTTTTTCTTTATTTATGTTCGAAACAATTGTATTAAATTAATAACTTATATTATTAATTAATCATTTTCACACCAAGATATTTAAGATTAACATAATTTTTAATCCATAACATCAATTAATAAAAATGTATTGCTAAAATCATAGATGGAAAAAAATAAAACATATTTGATACCCATAAATCTTGATATTGTTGTCTTTTCAACCAATACATGATGAATCATGTTGGCAAAACTATACTATCTTAAATTATCATTTGATTTTGTAAAATAAATTATCATAAATATTGATTTGTATTTAAAATTTATATTGTGCCATTGAGATCATAAATATGAAGGAGTGATTAATAGTTTAATATACAGTAGAAACTTGATTATCTATGTTTGCGATTAACCATGCCCACTCTTCCGAAAATTTATTGTATGTATGCGTCTTCTTTTCTTATGTATATTTCTAATTACAATTGAATCAAAATTTTTAAAATTTCATTATTATAAAATTGTACCGATGTATTTCTAATTATAACTAAATAAAAAATTTCATTATTATAAAAAGTCTCAATTAACCATGATTTTCATTTATCCGTGTGACCCTCTCCCCATCATTACCCCAGATAATTAAGGTTCTACTGTACTTTAAAACAATTAAAATTTATAAAAACGATATAGCTATTGCTTAAAATAACTTTCTATACATAATTTCTTCATAAATTTTCATTGATTACTTTTTTTTAATCAATAAGCTGTAAGTAAGAACTTTCTTATATTACCTTGGTTAAATTTCTACGTGGATGATGATAGGAAGCACAATTTGCGATCTTAAAAAATTAATGTACACCTATATTAAAAACAAAATATAATATGATGAGAATAATTACAAAAATCATGATTATTTTAACTTACTATAACACTATGTATGCGATTTAAAGATTAAACACCATTTACGGATTGCTTTAATATTCAACTTCTTTTCACTGAATAAATTAAATTTTTACATAATGTTTTTTTTTTTTTTTTTTTTTATTATTACGCCTAGGCCCTAGTTAAGATTTAATAACTATAATTCGTTTATCATATCAAAAAATTCGTTTCTCTGTGCAATCCTACAAGATATTGCATGTGTTTACAATTTTTCTTATCTTTTTTACGTACCGATACGTGTCGGTCGGTGAAGGTACCTCCACTGTTATCTACTTGTGACTGATAAGTGATGACCATTTGAAATTTCATTATTAAGTTTTCACTAGCCCATTTAGTACTTTGTCGATTTGTCGTATTATATTATTGTATATTATTTATATGATAGAGTTTTTACTACAGTTTAAAGTAAATCATAAATACTCCTCGACCGTGGTATTGTTATTCATTATATCCTAGTTGTTACTCATTGTTGTGCGCTGTCAGACTCTTATACCTGGCAGTTGACTCGACAACTCGCACTTTAAAACGGTTTAAAACACAAGGTTTATATAATATAACAAGAATCAATAAAAGGGTGAATTATAATATAATAAACCAAATAGCGATTTATATGTAGTAGAAATAAATGTATAATATTTAAAATTTAAATACTAATTGATATTAAGTATATCTATATAATTTATGCTGTAACTGCAAGACATCTGTTAACAGACAACAGTACACATACTCACACGAAATAAAATTATAATATGATGATAATTGATAAAACTTATCAATATCCGATGATGATCGATAATATCAGCGGCGGCTAATTTGCTGCTCACGGCCGTTACCGATATTTTACCCGGCGCCCGGCAGTCCAAATTGATGGGCAAGCACAGACAATGACCCGTGTGATCGCCAAATATAGATATAATATGAATGATATATTATATAGATATACATGAATCGACGTCGATGGCGATTTGACAGATGGCAGCGCGACACTTGACATATATAATATATATATACAAAAATTAACGAATTATATGGACAAATGACAACGGTTTCAGTCGTCTTTTTTTTCCAAATGGTATTCGAGATTATTCAATCGTGATATCAGAAAATACCAATGAAATTATTAAGTTATGGTTGGGACCAGCAACTTTCATAAATCATGATTGTGAAATTAACGAAGCAATATGTTCCTTAGGCGAAGCTGCTATTGTGAAGAATACCTAAAACTTTTAAATTATATTATGTGTTTTTTTCTGTCCACACGTATTGATTTTACAATGATGTGTGTTTCTAATATCGTCTACTATTCTGTGACATCAATTTCATAAATTATAACTCCCGAAATCGACCGTTCGGCAAGTAAGTATATGATTTACCGGAGGATTTCAATGCAAACGTATTCTGCCATATAAATTATTTCTATGATAAATTTGGCCTTTGATTTTGAATGTTGAATTAAATTATTGATCATTTGGAGCATTATTTTTAACTATTTCTTTTCTCTGAACGATGTCATTTTAAAACATGAATTAAATTTTCGAATTGACTACAGGAAAAGGTTAAAATTTGGATCCGAACCGATAAGTAAACCATAGCAAATCTCTATTTGCTGTAGTATTAGTCCTTCGACGGGCCAAATTAGACCCATTGTATCTTGCTGGAATTGTTTATTGAACAAAACATACAAATTGATCACATTGAAGTAGGTGCTTAATATTGTACTACCATATTATCAATTTATGAGATTGAAGAAAGAATTAATAACTATTCTGTTATTAGAGTTAAACTAAATTTAATAATATTTGTATATTATTATGTGGAAACTGACCATAAACAGTGTCCTTGGTTGCGCATTATTATTTATTTTCAGCCAACAAAAAAAAAAAATAATAATAATAATTATGATTTTACACGTTAAATATTAAAAAAATATTTGTGGAGAGCCACCCTTTACATCTAGGAATATGAAAAATAGTTTACATAATTTTTTCAGACCTATTGAATATACACTATACACACACAATTTCGTGAAAATCTGTCAAACAGTTTCGGAGGAGTTAAATAACAAACATTTTCTGTTAGACACGAGAATTTTATATATTAGATACCTATATGTATCGCGAATTTAAAAATAAATTTATTAAATAATGGAATATAATAATATTCCAACGACTGCTACATGATTTCGCACCTCACATTACTTAAAACATATTAAAGATGCAATCGGAAGTGACGAAAAATAATGCGTGTTTCACGGAACGTTTACGATAGGTCGCACTGAATCCAAAGGTATGTCGACAACCGAATACGACGACCAATGACCACGACACGACGTGCGCACTTCACGCACAATATTGAAGTGTGATTGACGATATATGTCGCATGGGTTAGAACGATTTGCGGTAAGTCGCAAAGGCGCGAAAATGGACAAGACCCCCATATTTAAAAGCTAACAGAGACGAACTTAAGACATTGACGAGCGAACGCGGTGTCGACAAAATTCGTGATTAATGATTATAATTTATAGATTATAGAAGAAGTGAGTCGTCGAAAAGTTCAATACACTGCGCGATTATGCAGACCGGTTCGGACCTTAAAAAGGCGACGACGTTGACAGCTATACCACGGAATATAACAATACTCACTAAGAAGATAAAAAATTTATTTATTAGTAAATTTTTATTTATTAATAAATAGGTAAAATGTGTATAGTTAAATAATATTATTCTATAATTTATAGTAACCGAATCGTGTATTATTACATGAAATATTTTTTTGAAACCCAGAAGTTATATCAAAAATAATTCGGATAAATGTTATCTACCCAAGTCTTATTTACCCACATTTTATATTAAATAATTATTGTAATTATTTTCTTAATAGTTAATAACCATTGATTATGAATACAAATATTGTATTTACATTTTACAATCAATGTTAGTCATTTTGGATATCCTAGCATTAGGTATTGTATTAGGTATAGTGTAATGAATAATGATATATTGATATATACATTATTATATATCATTATTTAAATGTTAATAAAATATCCATACAGCTGCACAAACATAAATTAGAAAATTATATATCTTTATTCATTGATATGCCTTTTGGATTTAATACAATAAATAATAAATGATCTGTACAGCTGCACAAACATAGACTAAAAAAAATATATATTATTATGAACTAAATTAATCAACAATAAGATTAAATTATTCTTAGACTTAGAAATAATCACAATCATTGCAGCTGTACAAATATGAGCTACTAAATAAATAAGATACTGATAATGAGCAACGCCGCAATCTCAAAATTCTATTATAAAGACGGCCTATTATGTCTATAAAAGGGCAAAAAACAACCAATTCCACGCTCAGTCGCTTACCAAATACTATATTAATAAATGTATAATATTTTTCTGTGTCAAATTATTACAAGTTTAATAAAATTTAATTCACTTTAATATCTTTCGAGTTGTTGAATATAATATTCTTGCACACCACTTTCCACCCCGGTTATCCAGTATCCATCACATCAAGTCGCATCAAACATTATAATTTCACATTTCGAATCATTTGAAAGGTAAGTGAAAATTCATACAATAGATATTTTCCATACATTAGTTTATTCAAAAGGAAAAACTCTCTTACCCAACCCCTTAATTTATCTTACAAGTGATGAGTTAGAGATAAAAACATTAAAAAATAAATAATATTTAAAATACTATCTCTTAATAATAATTATATATAATATTTTTAACTCATTACAGTAGTTATAAATCTGTACCTATTAATTATTGGCTACAACTCGTTTGCGCATAGAAACACAACTCAATTGTGCACATATATTTTGGCTACCTATGACGAAAATATTAGATATCGTTTGCGCACACATTTTCCTTACACAGTTACATGCCGAGTTATAATGAACCATAACTACTAAAACGTCTAAAACTGTACTAAAAGTAGTTAGGTATGGTAAATCCCAAACGATATAATTTACACAATCAATTATGAGATTATATTGCTATCAAAATATTTACTAATGACGTGTGTGTACTGCAGCCTGTGACGAGTGTGATGATTTTAAATCACGGGTAAATATGAAATATTATGAAAGTATAAAACTATATTTAGTATTATTACATAAAACACATCAGTTGCGAATGTTGCGATACGCCGATATAAGTCGTAGTCTGTAATAGAGACGCATATTACAGAACTAAAATAGTGCGATGTACTGTAAAATCCCAAATATGAATAGGTATATTCATTTTTGGATTGTGTTGCGGTAATATCCACTGGCTGGTTGTTTGGCTACGCCGATTGATTATTAACTATCAGTTTGCGAATTAATCATTGTTCGTTGTTCACTTGGACTTGGCACTTGCACAGTTGCACTCGTCTTGTACGTTTTACCATTTAATTCTATAGTTTTCAGTTTTTTTTTTTAATTCGTCACCCCATAATGCATATAATAATTATGAATTCTATAAAATTAAATATTTGTCATTGTGGAAAAATATGAGAACTTTAAATTCGTATAATTATAAGTTGCACATTTAATCATGCATACACAAATTGTCTGAGACTAGTGTCAAAATCAGTACCTACTTTTTTCAAATTGAAAATTGTGAAACGTAAGTACAATTTCTATTTTCTTATAATTTATAAATAATCAAGGCTTAAGACATTTGCATATTGAACTTCTGGTTGATACAAATTCGATCCATATTACGTAATATATTTCAAATATGTACAAAAATGTTTGTTGCGTATTTTGTTATTTTTTGTACGATTTGCTTATTTTATATTTAAGAACTTTCATATTCACATTTCATAGATTTAAAATATTTTTTTTTTTTTTTACAAATTTATAGTTTAATAAAAAAATATTAATTATAATATGACAGTTGTCATTTGACAACCAAAGTTCTAAATTTTATACCGTTTAACAAAATAAATTAATTCATCAACGGCTATTTTTATATTGCTTCCAATTCTATGTATGTATTTGTTTTTTTAATTTATGCTGATACAATTTACAATTAAGGTACTTATAACTTATAAGTTGTTAGATTTTATGGTTCCAATATAAACTACTTAAAAGAAATCTTATATTAAACTTTCAACATTTTAATATAAAACAAAAAACGAATACAAATTTCTAACTACAAAATAATTAGCTAAGTTTCATAATTTTTATGAACTCTGACTTTAAACAGTTTTAAAAAATATAGAGCTTGCATTTCTAATCAACAAATAATTTTTAATCAACGTTTATAAGATAAAAACTTTCCATGCTTATAAATAGGTAGCTATGAAAGAATTGAATAATGTTGAAAATTTTATGATATACATTATACGTATAATAAAAAAGATGATAAAATATTTGATGGTAATAACATTTATGTAATGTTATTATTATTTTTATTTTTAAGATAACGAAATATTAAAAGTTATTTGAAAAGAAATAATTATTTTACTGAGGAATATCGAATGTCTCAAAAGCTTGAACTTCAAATGCTCATAATAAAATGAATAAGCTTTCCAGTAAAATATTCTCAAGTATAGGTTTTGAAAGCTTATAAAAAACCTTGTATTATTTTAAAATTGTAGGTTTAAAAACAATTTTTTTTTATAAATTTCTTATTACAAAAAATAATTTGTTAATATTCACTATTTTTTATGGTTCTGTGAAAAAACTTAGAATACTTTTAAAAAATATTGTGACTATAAATTCTCATTATTTGGAATTGAAAAATTAACAAGTTATGAGGAGCTTTGTAGTAAATTTTCAAGATTTTTTACTTGCAAACAAAAATTGTATTACATATAAGTTGAAAAGAAGTTTAAACATATCAATAAATAGACAATAAAAGAATGTTTTGATGTTTCAAAAATAACTAAAAGTATTGGCAACACTTGGCCCTTATAATCAACTTTGGGTAAAAGATTAAAAAAAAATTCACAATGATTTAAACATGTTGTTTACAATATATATTATATTTTATACCCCATAATAATGAATTATTGTATATTGTGGTGCCAATCGGTAAAATATCAAAAAGAAAATCATAAATTACATTTTTTACAAAACTAATCAATATGTTATGATGGAAAAATGTTGAAATGGATCAAAATTCCATCTTACAAAAAAAACGATTCTTACCTTTATTCAAATTGTATAAACATCAGTTGTTTATGTCTTTAAAGATATATAAAAACATGTAAATTAAAACTATGAAACATGAAAATACTGTCAAAATCCCAAATGATTGTTTTTAGAATACTCAATAAACAGCAAGCTTTAACTAAACAGTGAGCTCTATTTTATTCTCAAAATGGGTTTTTTTAGATCTATAATCCATAATTAATTATATAATTGGAGATGTCGGTGACACATAACTACTAAGGATTTAATCACATAAAATAAATCTTTATATAACTCGGTATATTGGTATGATAATGTACATGTCATACAATATTATACCTACAGAAATATCAATCTAAAGGCCTATCAGTGCTAATGTAACATTGGAATCCTGTCCTGTTTCACCTGCATATTTTTCACTAATTTTGGTATTAAACAATAGTTTTTAATTTATATTCATTTTATATGTAAATTTTATAGTTTTATGCTACTATAGCTTGTGGAAAACAATAGTTAAAAAGAAAAAACTAGAAATGATAGATTGTATTAAATTTTAACAATATGTTTATGAATTAAATAAAAAAAAATTAAGTTTTACAGTCAAGGTATGATTCAGGTGATAATTAAAATAAATGTGTCAACCTCTTTTTATCCAACTAATTAATTACTAAATTATTGTATATTTTTCCATAATAAATTTAAATTTTTTGTATTACGTAAATAGTTTATAATGGAGCAAAAACTATTTTTTGTTTTTATAAATTGTATCATTATAGAAGATGAAATCAAAAAGTATATACTATATACTATATAGTATAACTATATAAGTAGCTTACACTTAACAGTTTAGGTAGGTACCTTTCAAAATGTGAAACATACCTATATTATGTAATATATCACACATCTGTATAAACTTATTTTAAAAATATATGTGAAACTGCAATTTTTTCTTTGATACGTCAATGTAATTTTAGCAATGTGTTTTTGTTGAAATGGGATCAAACCCATTCAAACATTGAAGTTGTTGGGGCTTTAAAAGAATATTAAATATACAACGTATCATTGTAGCTGTGTTTTTTGAAATCTCTAATTATTGGTACTTAACTACTCAATAATATTATGAACAATAAGTGTCTAGCTTGATTTGAATTTTGTTAAGTATGGTTTAATAATTGGAAATATTATAGAATTATAGTGGCATAGTGCTTTCAGGAATAATTAATGTCTTATATTAATTATATTAGATTTTATAATTCTATTATTTGTTAATGCATTGTTTAAAATTTTTTCACTTATGAAAAATAAACAAAATGCAAAGTTATGATTAGAAAGTAGATAATATTTATCCAAAGTGTGCTGTGACTCATAATCATGTGCCGTGATAGAAAAAAAGTTTGGAAACCACTGGACTACAGTAATATTATAAACATTATAGTATTGTTATAGCACAGTTAAAAATGTTGTTGAACTTTGGTTGTTTAAATGTTTATTCTAATCATAAGACATAATTTAAAGTTTATAACAATAATTGTTTGGTTCTTGCATAGTAAAATGTGAAATTAACACTATTACTATCTTATGCAATAACCTCACATAACAAAAACAAACATATAACTTTAAAATGTTATAAATAATGAAATGTACATAGTACATACTACCATCATACAATAAACGCACCACTACTACTTAAAAACTAATAAAAAAATGTAAAATACAAAATAAAATATATATATAAAAAATAAAACATTAATTTTGGTAACAACTTAAATTTACTAGATGAGTACCACTAATTATTTTTCTATTTCTTCATTTACTGGTACTGCATCTCTAACTTTCACTTACTGGTATTGTATCCCTGACAGCTACAGCAGCAACAAGGGCAGCTCCTCGACCACTTCCATCTTCAGATAACATTAACTCAAACTGAAAAATGTAAAAAAAAAGTTTTAATTTTATTCTAATATTAAAACTTAAATCCAACCTGCAAGTAATAATTATGATTTTATATAAAAATAGAATTAGTAACCTTAATTAATACAATAGATGACTAAGAATAATTGTATCACATAAAGCAATTTGTCCAAAAAATTAAGTGATAGGTATTGTAACATATAATAATATATAGTAATTACTTGTTATTACTAGGAGTCAGATTTTATGATTCTTTTTTATATATTTGCTTCTAGTGTATGTAGTTAAATAGATATAAGATAAAAAAATTTAAAAAAACCATGAAATAGAATTTAAAGAAAAAATAAATTTTGTATAACATAAGCATAATTTTTGAGCTTAAATAATATTTTTTGTTCAAAACAATTTATTTTTCTTGTAAAGTAATTACGAGATTGAATTAAATCTTTTTAAGAATACATCCATAAAAACATTTATACTTTCTACAGCTTTACTTTATTGATAAAACCGATCTATTAGTATGAAGTATTTGATTCAGTGACGTAGTTATGATTTTTTTCTGGAGGGGAATATATAATTTATCGAATAAACATACTGTGGAGGGCGTATAACCATGCCCTTATAGCCCTATATTGGATATACCTGTGGTTATAACATATAATATAGGTAATTTTATAATCTTATACCGAGTATAAGTAAATTCATTAAACATTTAAAAGAAATAGGTTCTGAGGAATCTATTCTCATCATTTCCCCTCCACCCTATAACTACGCCACTGATTTTATTAGTATTAAAAAACTACGAGGTAACAATATTAGCCCCTTATTCACTCACATTGATGTCGGTTTTAGTCAGTTGTCTAGTCTTTTCCAGTATGAGTTTCTGGAAATATGGGTGGAAACGGTAGACAGAACCGTCGACGCCAATTGTGACAGATTTTTCGTCCATTTTGTTGAGAATCACGGCCAGGCCAGCAGACACCAAATGCGCCGAACGACTAGACACGCACTTACAAATGTACCGTACATTAGCACAATCGACCAATGATGGGTCGTTAATGCCCATCTCGCTTAGAACTCGGCACGTATTTTTGTAGTTGATAATATCGCTAAGACGATAAAATCACAATTAGTACTATAAAACTCCCTGATTGGAGCTCCCTTCTTCCCACAACATGTATATGCATTAGTATAAAATATTAAAACATAAAGCATGTACACCACTGAAAAATGCTATCTATGTCACACTGTTATCTTGGTATAAATTAACATTGATACCTTTCAATATCTGATACAAAAGACGTGCCAAACGCTCCTCTGGTCTTCATTTGTTCGGAAAGTCTTCCCTCGAAGAGTTTGTTTTGATTGGCCAAGTCCACGATAGTCAACCTCACGATTTCACCCATATACATGCCGCTAATCATTTTTTCGAATCTGAAATAACAGAATGGAGAGCATATATTTCAAACACCGACACAGTAAAACGGAAATTAATAAAAATTTTATTTTTTCGTTTATATTGAACAAAGACACACTTACCTCTGTTGTCCTGGATTCAATGAGTACTCATCGATCTCCCGGTCATATTTAGTACGAACAGCATCTAATTTTCCGTCATCCCCAAATGCACCCCACTCAGTGTTCACGATCACATGAGGTTTTATCTTTTCGCCGTCAAAAAGTTCAACGTTTTCCACTTTTTCAACGTAACATGCATTACAGCCCGTTCCTACATAAACACAATTTTATAGACAATCAAACTCTGAGCACCGTTAGGCTACACATTAATTGTCGTCCATATTTATTTCTAAATACACAATAAGTCTTACATATATATCCGTTGTTCATAAATAACATAAATCAATTGTAGGCGAGTTAATTTAATCAAAATTTATTATATTATTATTATAATCTGATCACGTGTATATTCCATAATATTCGACAAGATATATCACTTGATAAATTAATTTAAATGTATTTCTATAAAGTAAAATAAAATGTTTAAAAAAGAATTAAAAAATTAAAAAAAAGAAAAAAAGAACGAATTTATTTTGTTCATAAAAACAAAAAATGTAACAGTAAATACTTATTTTTAAAATTAAGTAGGTACATATTATAAGCTATAAAAATATATGATATTATTAATTATTATTAACAATATAAACTATAATTTTTAATAATCTTAGCTAGATAATTAATTCCTAAAAATTATTATACATTTATTATTAAGTAAATAAGAACTAATAATATTAGAAGAAAATTAAAAATGAAAATATTATCATATAAAAATCATTGTTAACTAGCATAAGAAACATTATATTTATATTGTGTGGTATTGTGTGTGTTAACACAAAACTGTATGGCTAAAACTTAACAGTTTGCATACACTTATTGAGTTAATAGAATTAATTACTTATCTACTAAAATATCTGTTTACACGACATACCAACTATTAGTCCAATTTTAGTGTTCGGAGTCTTCCAAGCGCATGACATGAGTGTACCAGTAGTATCGTTCAATATTCCACATACATCAATCTTTACGTCCTAATAAAATTAACACCAAAACAAACCTTCAAAAAAAAGCATTCAAGTATAATTTAATATGAAATGCTATAGGTACGAATATCGACGACAAATCGCACTACGTTCGAATCGTTCTATGGAGTATCCAAGACAAACAAATAAATTAAAATTTATGAAAATGAAAAACAAACATCTAAAATTATTCACGGTATAATAATATTATTCAGAGAATAATTTATAAGATGTTGGATAAAAACATACTTCTATGGGTTTTTTAAAACGTAATTTTTAAGAACCTAATCCGTTTTTAGTCAAAAAACGATATTTTGTATGCATTGTAATTAAGTTATGATGAAATATCATTGTATATAGCTTAAATACAAATAAATAAATAACGGTCAAGTTTTCGCGCGCAGATAACGGTTAATTCCGACATAACTCTTTCCATCAGTGATGAAAGGAACAACTTGTATTGTAAATATTTACAAGTGTTGGTAACAATGAGACACGAAGCGTGTGACTTTTTTGTGTGCCACCAGAAATTGGGGAAGGCTGAACAAGAGTCTACCGCCAAGGATAAGGATAATTCCGTGGGAACGCAGATGCTTTTGATGAAGCCGCTAACCTTTTTGACTGAATTGACCATATCGTCTCCTTCGCCAGTGCATGTGCACCTACCACCCTAGCAACCCTCTCAACACAGGATTCTGTGAGCGATAACTGAATTTTTCAAGACACTAAATCAGCTGTTTTTTATTCGGACTCAAGTGTTTAAAGAGTTGTCTTTTAATTTGTATTGCTTTACTTTTTCATAACAAAATTAATATATTCACTGCTGTGAATCTGATAAGGTGTATGGTTAATGATTATAATATATTACATATTTTATATTAAATATTAATATTATAAAAGAGTAATCTATGGATGAATTCGCGCGAAAGACAGACTGTTGACCAAACGTGAATATTCGGGGGACTTATCGAAACTTAGCTTCCTATTATGATTTTTTTAACGTTAAAATACCCCTAAAAAATATAAAATAAACAATATTGTATTTTGATACAGATTAAAGAACTTTATATGGATAATATTTTTATAATTATTCAGTATTCTCTTATTATAAGTGCAACTATGTGATATTCATTTTTTTTTAAATAACATATCTACTGACCAATTCATAATATCAAATTATATTAATGAGTATAAATCTGTTCATTTTTATCATACTTCAAAGAATAACTAATAAATTAACTGATTTACAAAAAAGCTTGGATGTAATAATAAAAATTATGAAGCTTTAAAATAATGTTTGAAAGCATTTACAGTGTACTTCAAAAAGAAATCGAAAATGAAGCTGATAAAGATGGCAATTAAACAATAGGTATAATATTATATACTTAATCAAATTAGCTTTTTATTTGTTTGTATTATATCTTTCTAATATATATAAATCTCGTGTCACAATGTTTGTCCTCAATGGACTCCTAAACCACTTAACCGATTTCGATGAAATTTTTTACATCGCGTGTAATTTGGTCCAACTTAAAAGATAGGATAGTTTTTATTTCAAATTTTTTAATACATTAAATATTTTAATTAACTTTTTAATAAATTTGTATGATTGCATACAAAAAGTACGTTACCATAGCCACAGTAGGAGCACAGGAACAATAATTTCAATTTATTTTAATTTATTTAATTTATTTATTTTCAATGTGCTATGATAACATGCCACCGAAAAAATCTAACCTCAACAACGCGAGCAGCAAAGGGTCACGACGCAAACGTGTTGAAAGAGCTCAGCAATTACCAGAACAAATCGAAACAAGAAATGCAGCTCAAAGAATCAGGACTGCAGAAAGTCGTGCACGAGAATCTCAAGAACAGCGTGACGAACGTCTACAACAGAATATTACGAGAACAAGAGCGGCACGAGAACGAAACATAGCTACAGTACGAGAAAGAGATCGACAAAGGCAACGGATTAGCCGCTCAATAACACGTGCATCATTCGTTCGGCTTGCCTTTGAATATGCACCAGATATTAACTACTAAGCGCATTCAAAAATTGCTATCGGTGGAATGGATAAAGTATGTCAATATTGTCAGGCATTGAAATTTCGGAATGAAGCAGCCGGCATGTGCTGCGCATCAGGAAAAGTTGTGCTGTCACCTCTACCCGCTCCGCCGAAGCCTTTATTATCCCTTCTTACTGGCAATTCAGATGATTCCAAATTATTTTTGCGTAAGATACGCAAATTTAATTCTTGCTTCCAAATGACGTCATTTGGGGCAACTAAAATTTGCGATCGTGCATACGATGGACGTAATTTTGAAACTACATGCAAAATTCAAGGCCAGGTGTACCATAAAATCGGATCACTGATGCCAATGCCTGATAACAATCCGAAATTTCTTCAAATTTGTTTTATGGGCGATTGTGAAGAGCGTTATTATTTATTAGCGTTACGTATTTTGGCAGCCAAAAACGTTGATGTTGACGAAATTAACTTCCAGATACAACAGTTGTTACCAGGCGATCTGATGTCTTTTAAATCAATCGATACTGTTGTTGATGAAAATGAAAGTGTAAATTTTCCGATTGAATTTTTAAATTCATTAGATATCCCTGGAATGCCACCACATAATCTTCGATTAAAGATTGGTTCCTCTATTATTCTCCTCCGTAATTTGAATCCACCTCAATTATGTAACGGTACGCGTTTGGTCATCAAAAAGATCACCGGAAACATTCTTGAAGCAACCATTTTGTCTGGGAAGTTTAAAGGAAAAGTGGTCCTGCTGCCACGTATTCCGATGATACCATCAGATTCTACCATATCCTTCAAAAGGCTACAGTTTCCAATTCGTTTAGCTTTCGCCATGTCTATAAATAAATCTCAAGGTCAAACAATGTCCATTTGTGGTTTAGATTTGGAAAATCCATGTTTTTCTCATGGGCAACTATATGTTGCATGTTCACGTGTTGGGAAACCGTCGAATCTATTTGTGTTAGCTAAAGACAGGTTAACCAAAAACATTGTGCACCGATTGGTGTTAAATTAAATTGAAATTGAAAGTATTTATAATTCAAAAAAATAGATATTAATGTTTAAAAGTTTAAGACTGTCTGCCTTGCCTATCTCATTCATGAGTTTAAGCGTCACATGTTATTTACTGTATTATACTGTAATATACTTATATTTGTTATAAAATTAAATGGAAATAATAAATCTGATAAATTTTTATTTTGTACCTATTGATTTCTGCTTAATATCAAGTGTAAGAACATTTTAATTAATTGTGTTCAACGTACGTCCCCTTCAAATCTCAATCCAGTGAATTTGTATACCAACATCAACATTTTCGTCTTTGTTAGTAAATAATTTCATTGTACTAAAGGGTTATAGTAGTAGAAAGTCAAATAAGGAGATCACCATATCTTTTTACAAATACCATCTGTGTGAAAAAGCATAATGGACTCCGTGACTGATGTTCTCTTATTGTTCCTCTTAATGTAATATAACAAAAACTTTAGCCACAGCAACGCGTGGCCGGGTTATATATAACATGTCATTATTTTAATATTTTTATTATTCAAGAATATACTGTCAACTATTACAAAAGGACAATTAATTGTAGTTTTATCTATCATGAACCATTTATCGTATACCATAAATGTATTAAGCAATATATCTATCTATATCTATGAATAAAAATGAATCCCTATTTCTCTTGGTCATAGCAACCGCGTGAACGACTGACTAAAATCGCTAATTCTTTTCTTCTTTTTTTTTTTTGTATTTGTTATTGTCAAGAGAAAGTTCTTATAGAAGAAAAAATTAGAAGGTTGCGCGGAGATTAGTCACGACATCATGCTTATCGCTAATTGTTTAAAACAAACATATTTGTCGAAATAACGGACGCATACTAGTTGCGGACGAAATTATTCAGGTCAATATTGTAACATAACAATTGCGGACACGTTTTTCGTTATCATAGTACTAGTTGCGTACAAAGTTTTTTTTAAATAAAAATCACGTAAGTTGCGGACACAAATATTTCCCTTCACCACTTTTTCATTTTTATAGTTTTTGTGGCAAAAATTTTTTTGAAACAGCATGTATAAATGATAATCTACTGATTTCACCATTTGAATATTGCAACATTTGTTTACTAATAATATCCTCTTTTTCGACAGTTCTTTTGGCTCGTTTTAAATTTCTTACAGCAGTATAGTTCATTTTAGTATAGCTACCAGTCTGTACTTCATTTATGGCCTCGATCAATTGATATATATTAGGGTGACTGCGATAAAACATACCATTAAGTTTAGCATGGAAACTTTCACGAGCATTTGTGGTTCGTGAAATAGATGAAGAAAATTCTGCCCATATTTCTGGAGGAAATATTGCAGAATCTGTATTTATATAGTTCAAAAAAACATAATCTGTAAAATCGTGTATAGCAGTACAGCCAGCCGGCAGCGTAGACATAAAGTCATCTGTAAAGCAGTCATCCACTTCGTTAGGTGACAAAAACGGTAGACCAAAAAATGATTTTAAAAAGTTCCCATTTTCGCCCTCAGTATTATATACTTTAGCTAGACCTAATAACTGTATTTTTCGGTACCAAGCTTGTCCGAGATGGAACCGACATACTTTTATTTTGCTCATTGGCCATACTAGACGAACAGCTGAGTGAATAGATTGTTCAAAATCAATATGAAAAGTAGTTGGTAGGATTGGTGAACGTTTTTTTAAAAATTCTAGTGCTGTACAATAATCAGTAACTGATTTGCCCACCAACAAACAAAAAAATAATGGTACGTAAATACTATTTTTTACGCCATGGACCACGAATAATTGATTGTACGCAATTAGTATGTTATATTTGTGTCCGCAATTCGTATGTTACCTTTTTAGATTTCGTCCGCAACTCGCATGGTTTTTGTGACTTTGTCCGCAACTAGGAAACATCGGAAATAACATTGATTAAATATACATAGATGGCCCATACAATGATAATGTATGGAAGCTCCCAATAACCGACCGGGGGAGCCAGAAATCTAGTAGTATGGGAACTAGACATCAGAGTGCGCTATTTTTGTGGTTCAGTGGTCATATTATACGGCTTTGAGCCCAGGGGTTCCGATTTCGAATCCTGCAAAGATACAACAGATTTTTTTTTTTTATTTATCTTTACAATACGACAATTGACTATTAAAACGATGATATTACACTATTTATGAATATTATGTGCTGTACTGCTGTATATATGTGTTATAAATGGGTATTAACTCGTTATCACAGTATATAAATAGTTTTCAAATATACTATTTATTTTTGACAAAACAAACATTTAAAACATTTTATTTTGTAATACTGATCAATTATACGTGTCTGTAGTTCTGTAGTGACACGTCATTGTGGTTCACGAATATTATTATCTTGTTTCTGCACAGTAGAAAATACTTTAACATTTTTTATTTAATTAATTTAAACGTTTTGGTAGTGTGCGTCTATAATAATTATATAAATGTCTCGAAAAAGTGGACACAAGTGTTTATATTTCAACTGTAGTAAAAGTGGACGAACCGTAAGTGGTCTTAAGCTCTACCGATTTCCAAAAAACACAAAACTTCAACAACAATGGGTTATAAATTCAGGTAAAATATATTTTAATAACCAGATATAAAGACTTAGTTTTTTTACATAGTATATTATTTTTGTTAAATTTTTTACTTTTTATTTAATAAAGTTGTTTTTTGTTATGTTGATTATAATATTCTAAACCTATTGCTAAAAGTTATGGTTGTATAGTGACCAAGTGACAATAATAAATTATGTAACTAATAATAATAATAGATTGGTTTAATAAAATATATTGTGTTATATTTCAAACTACTCTAAAAATTAAATAAAACACTTTTTTAGGCAATGTCGACCTCATTCATTTAGAAACTGCTGATTTGTATAAAAAACATATATGCATGAATCATTTTCAAGATTTTGACTTCAACAATGATACTAAAAAATATTTAAAAAAATCAGCCATTCCAATACCATATCAAGAAAATGCTTTTTTCCACGTCCGCACTCCAATAAAAACGTATTCATTTAAAACTTTAAAGCATAACTCACCTTCAATGTCAACTTTAAAGCAATACTCTCCCACAAAATCTATTTATATTCCAACACCAACTAAGATAAATTCTTCTCGTGTATCAGAACAAACAACACCAATTCTTACTCCAAAAACATAACATTTAATTCAAAATTCAATTAATTTTCCTAGTCCCCTCAAATTTAAACCAGTTCAATTATTTGTAAATACAAATGAAGATTCTAAACACGAAATAGAGAAACTTAAAAAAACAATAGAAAATTTAAGAAAAAATTTAAAAAGTAAACGTTCGACAATATCAAAGCTCCGTAAAAGTTTAAGTAACGCTCGTCATTTATTTCGTTCTCATGATGTAACAAAATCCTTGCGTTTTCCATCAAAAGATGCTCAAATATTAGTAAATATGCAAATTATGAGAGGTAAAATGTCAAAAAAATCATGGTCAAAAGATGAACAAAACTTTGCTCTTAAACTTTATTACAAATCTCCGTCAGCCTATAAGTTTTTAAGAAACATACAAATTAATCTACCAGGGGTCAGTACAATTAGACGTTTTATTAGTTCTTATAAATTTAAGCCAGGCTTAAATTTAAATATTTTAAAACAACTTACGTTAAAAGTCGGTTCAATGTCAGATGAAGAAAAATATTGTACTCTGGTCTTTGACGAAATGAAAATTAAAAAGTTCTTAGAGTACTCCAAATATTTAGATGTTGTTGAAGGATATGAAGATTTGGGTACAAAAAGATGTAGTAACGCATTAGCTACTCAAGCTATGGTTTTTTTAATTAGAGGCATGTATTCTAGCTGGAAAATGCCTGTTTCGTATTTTCTTTCAGCTACATCAATGAAAGCAACTACTTTGAGTAAGCTGATTGTTGATCATGTACAACAATTAATAAACTGTGGGTTAAAAGTTAGAGCTATAGTATGTGATCAAGGCCCGAATAACAGGTCTGCTTTTAACAAACTTAATTTAACAAAAGAGTAACCATGGTTAATAGTTAATAATATAAAAGTTTTTGCCATATATGACGTACCACATCTTTTTAAAAATTTAAGAAATAATTTATTATCAAGCGATATAATTTGTTTAGATAATAAAGTTTCATTTTCGGACATCAAACAAACATATTTAATTGATAAACAAAGTACTTCAAGTCGAGCTCTTCTTAAAATAACGGACAGTCATATTAATCCCGGGCCATTTCAAAAAATGAGCTGTAAACTGGCTTTACAAATATTTAGCAATACAATGAGTGCAGCAATTAAAACTTGTATAAAAACTGGCGAACTTAATTCATCTTCAGCATTGTTTACTGCTAAGTTTATTACATTTGTTAATAATCTTTTTGACTGTTTAAATAGTCGATCATTGTACAGTTCAAATCCTTACATGTGTGCAATATCAAAAGAGAGACCTAAACAACTCGAATTTTTAGAAAGTGCAAAAACATGGTGCCAAAATCTAAAAAATGCAATGGCCATTCTAGACCATACAGTTTTGATGGATTAGAATGAACAATTAACGCGGTCATTAATATTTATGAAGAACAATCAAAATTAGGTTTTGAATACTTGTTAACGACGCGATTAAATCAAGATGTAATTGAAAATACATTTTCCGTTTTTCGCCAAAGAGGTGGTTATAATACAAACCCTACAGCAAAGGCATTTAGAATTACTTTTAAAATGTTATCTAATATACAATTGATGAAACCATCTGCATTGTCAAATTGTGAAGCAGATGACGATCGTAATATTATGTTTGAGTTTGATACAAATACAATTATAAAACCAACTGATGACTCTACCGTTAATGAAGAAGACGAACAATCCAACTCTAGTCTTTCTTCTTTTTCAATATCACCACTGGCTAAAAGAAATGAAAATTTAGTTAAGCCTATCGTGACTCTTTCTGTTTGCTCAGATAGTTATTTTAGTGGTTACTTAGGAAAAAAATGTTATGAAAAATTTAATTGTGTTGATTGTCAAAATTTAATGTTAACTTGACCCAGTAAACTATAATAAACAAACGGACTATTTAATATTTTGTAAAAATTACGGCATAAAATCAGAAAACTTTTATTTAAAAAAACCAACCGATAATTTTAGAAAATTCATTACAGAGTGTCAATTAATATAGTAGCTGAAAAACCATTTATGAATAAAATCGGAAAAACGATTGAAAGAATAATTTACAAAAAACTAGTTCCATCTTATTTTAATTTCAAAACTGAATGTTAACCTCATCTAGAGTTCATTATTTTACATTTGATCAACTATAAATTGCTTAGAGATTTTAATTGGAAGTCTAAAAATAATAAAAACCAAACAGTTGCTAAACTTAAGATTTTAAAGAATGTTTGATCCTCATTTCTCTAATTTGTGTATAATTATTAGGTACCTAACTGCCTACCACCTATTATTATGTAAAATTATTTTGGGGGTTTTTTAATTACTTTTTTTTATGTTTTATTAGTGTTTAATTATTATTATTTATAGATTATCATTAAACTCTTAAGTACGTAAAACGTAATAATTATATTTATATTATCTATACTATACTTTTATTTAAAATTGTTATTGTCTTAAATTTTAATATTTTAGATCTGTTCCAACCTGTGTTTACTTTTGTTTTAATTTTTGATTATAAAATAATGTATCTATGTGTTTATTAATTTGTAAAAGTGTAAAATCACAGCCTTTTTAAAATTTATTATCAATAATTTTAGATGAATATGTAAGTTTTAAAGTTGTTTTATTTAAAATAAAAATATTTTGCTAGATCCTAAATCAACTATGGTACCTATATTCTCATTGATAAAATATAAAATAAATTAACTACGGTGCGTGTATTCTCATTGATTAAATAAAAAATAAATCAATAATGTTCCTTAGTGTGCTTGAGTTGCTTTTGAATAATTATTATTTGAAAAAAATAATTATTTTACTTAAAATTAACATTTTAAACTTAACTTTATTCAGCAATCATCATAGTAGTGCCATGAGAAAACATAATATTCGAAAATAAAATAACATTATAATATGATTAGCCATTCAGATTTAGCATTGATTAAATATATATGTAATATTCTGTGGATTTAGTAAATAACAATATTCAATTTAATTTATATTCTTGGAATTCTTCTTATCGCGGTTTATTTTTATTCTACCGGTTTGTGTATTGTGTACAATTTAGTATTTATCAACGCTATCTATTGTCACATAATTTGTACTAATTTACGGGTTTCCATATTGCGTATAGCTATGGGCCATCTATGTATATTTAATCAATGGAAATAATCTATATAAATATATAAAGCTATAAGCCCATTTTTTTGAGTAAAATAAACTCGATAACTATTGGTTTAATTTTGATAGGATTTTTTTTTTTATGTGTTACTTATGATCATGAAAATGTCATAGGCATATATTTAGTCAGTTAATACCTAATTGGTTATTAATAATTAAAATAAGTGCTAAATTGACCTGAGCCCAAAACGTATACGGAAGCTTTCAAAAATCTGAACACATCAACAGAAAATATTTCCGGTATTTCTTGCCAATTCATATCCAATTTAAATGCTTTAGTGAGCCCACTCATTTCACTCCACGCATCAGTCCTAAATGCACTTATAGCAAAAAACACTGTCTAACAAAACTTTTCCGTTATATATTTTTTCTTTACTATCTATCTTATATGATTCAGTCCAAATTCGTTTTACCTTATTAAAATCATATACAACTAAATATGTTATCGGTTATGTGTATATTTAATAGGGTCTCCTGGCCCATACCTGTTTTTAATCTATATTTTATCACTGTCTAAATTATTATGTTCACGTCACTTTTCATATTCAAAATGTAATTATATACCTATATGTGGCGCGGTGGCCTGCCGGTTTCCAAATACCTGTAATCTGACCTTTCTCCCGTCAAATGTGTTTGATATCAGTTATTCCGAGAAATTTATAGATAATATATATTTTATATTTAAATAAATAGAAAAATATATATCCGTGTCGCCCATGTACACTAAAATAACGAATTCGATTACTTTGATATTTTTTTTTTTATGAACGAGTACATGACGGTGCAGATTTATAGTACATTTCTAATTCTATAAATTAATTTTAAATAATTGGCAAATATGCACATATATATATATATATTTTTTTTTTCATCCGTGTTACTAATTATTAGTTATTATTAATAATTAGTAGGAACTTAAGTGAATAGTTGATGTAGTATAACAGAATAAAACGTTTTCGTTGTTTTTGGTTAACACCATTGAAATTTTATAAGTTGTTGGTTTTTGATCCAAATAAAAAGGAAATCAAAAAGAAAATGAAAAATAGTTTTAAAAAATGACAATTAAATGATAAAAAAAAATAGAAAACAACATTAAACGAAATAGCTATGTTGATATTTCGGAAATATCATCTATATACTAAATCAAAAAACCAAAAATATAATTTATCAACACGCATTACGCCAAATATTAGCATTTTAGCATGTTAGGGTAACAAAATTTAACACGGATACATTTTTTACGGGAAACGAAGTGCATGGGGATAGTTAGTTATACTATAAAGATAAATGGTAAAGACTATAAAGACTAGATAAATTTAATAAGTATATAGAAAAAAAATTAATTATTTTTGTAATTTGATTATTATTTACCTCCCTCCTCTTGATTGCGTCTTTAAGAAGGCTGACAACGTCTTCGCCAACCACTCCCGAACAATTAAATCCTTTGGTCCAGCTATTTAAAAATCCTCTTGTAAGTCCAACTTGTCTAAGAGGAAAACTAAAAGTAAATCCCAATGGCAATGCCTTTTTGTTGTCTAAGTTATACTTATTTACAAATTCTGCCAGACATTTAGCAATATGATCAAATAACTACATAACATAAAAACAAACAAAGTTTAATACCTAGTTATCATCAATAATAAGATTATATTTTATTACTTCTGTGCCTTTGCCGGTTTGGATTTGACTGGGAACTTTGAAGGTTTCAAAGTCCATATGGAAGTGGTTTTCTTCTCCCAATTCAATTAATAGAACACGGAAGTTAGTACCACCCAAATCTAAAGCCAAGAATTTACCTCTTTCTGAAAGAAAACAAAATTAATTAAACGCCATTAGCAACTAAATCATGTAATCATAGGACTGTTTTAACCTGTTCCATTAGGTAAATCTTGTACATAAGTGACATAACATTTAACAACAGAAGATGGATTGGTTTCTTTGCTCAAACCATTCCTGATGGATATATCCATATCTTTCATCAAGGTGAACAGTTGTTCATTGGACAAAATAAGTGATTTGCAGTCAACTTTGATCTAAAAAATAAGTGTCTATTATTGTTCATATAATAAAATTTAAAAAAAAATATTTAATAATAAATAAAAATTCAAATAGATTATTTCTAACTTTAGGTATAAGTGTATAACATGTCATATTATAACATACACAAAGAAAACTCAAAAAAAATTTCTTCACAATATAAAAATTGTAATAACCCTATTTGAATAGGTATAATATTAGATACCTATTTCTACAAGATTTATACAATCTACATTATTAATTAATTTTTATTATTAATTAACTCAAGATTAATAATAAAAATGACTACCTAATTACTATCAGAATCAACAAAACAAAGTAGCTAGGTACAATAATTATATAACCTTTTAGAATCTAATAAAGTACTATATTATTAATAATTATGTAAAAATGTGATACAACATTAACATTAAAACTTCTTAATATCTCATTTGAAATTTAAACAACGAAATATTATTGATATAATAATAAGCTTATGTACTTACACAACGCAAATATTAATTAATAATCAAACAACAATAAATAAATATACTTTAATACAACATTATAAAAATTATCTCGATAAAAAATTAAAACGACCGGAAGTCATTAATGCCAATAGAAGATAATAACAACTACATGAAAAAAACGATAACGAAATACGCATTAAGAAAATCGAACTAGTCCTGCTACTCTCTCATATAAAACACGGTTGGCGAAAATAAATATTACTAGAATAAAAATATGTGACTTTCTAAAATGTTCGTATACTGTGTACGACGTACATATATTATACAAATTGACAAAAAAAAATAATTAAACTGAATTTTTTAGTAATGTGAGCCGAAAGAATAAGTTTCATTAGCTACCTCTAATAAAAATAGGCGTATTAATGATCGCTCACCTCATCACAGCATCAATATTCAAACTTTTATCAATATATTGCTACGAGATCTTATTTGAAAATTACGAACTAAGATGTACGAATAAGTCTTCGTGACTTAGTTTGTTTCGAATTTCTTTGATTATTCTTATTATTTTCGTCATTTGTAAGTTAATTTATTATCTAAATTAAATTGTAAAATTTCTAAGATTACATAATTTTGTTACGGGTATCAGTTATTAAATACTTAATTTTATATTTAATATAAGACCTTAATTTCAGTGCTATCATTATGTAGATATTAAATGCTTTTTATGTTAAGAATTTACCACTATTAATTATATATTTTTAGTTTTTAATTTTATGCCATAATCCATTATTTTAATAGATATAGCATGAAATCATCAATAAACCAAAATATAATAAGAATCTAATTAAACAAATATATATATTTCATACCATACAAATTAAAAAAAAAAAATGTTTGCTTTTATCTATTATTTTTATTATAGTCGTAAACTGATTTATTATCAAATTTTAAGAGAAAGATATTATCTAGGGCTTCATATAGATTTTTTATAATGCTTATAATACTTAAACTCTAAAATTTTTAAACATTTCATATTAATTCTCATGGCAGTTAACGTGTTATTAAGTATAAAATATTATGAAAATTAGTACTAATAGATAAAAACACAATTAAAATATAATAATATAAAAAGGGGAAAAATATAGATAACCTATTTGCTATACGATAGGCATTGAATATTACTCGTCATTAAGTCATTACTTATAAATTAAAGAAATCTTATTTTAAAATCTTAAGCATTAGCTGTAAAAACTGACAATTGTATAGATTTTTAATTAAAAATAGTTTTGTGATTTTCATGATTTTGACGTATTTTCAAATGAATTATTGTAAATATTATTCAAACAGTTATATAATTTATATATTAAATACATTTAAGTAATCAAAAGATTTTATACGATCCTTAAATGCTTATAAAAAAAAAATCATGTAGATGTACCTTTAGTATTTTTAAATATGTATTATAACAATTTACAAAGAACTTAATGTTAAATGTCCAAGCTTTTTGACTGACTAAAAATGTAATTAGGTATTTATAATGCGTTAAAATTTCAAGGAGCTACGATTATTCGTTTTCAAATTACAACAAAATAACAAAATTTGATTTAGTTAAAAAACTAGTTTTTAAATTTAAATTTTTCTTTTATTCATAATCATTAGGAAAAGTATGTATCAGGAAAGTTATTGTAGTCAAATATCGATGCATTTTTTTTTTTTTTTAACCTTAAAAAGTGTCTCCAAACAAAATATAATATAAAGTAAAATAATTTTTAAAATTGTAATAATCACAGCAATACAAATTTTTTAAGTAAATATCTATCTCAATATAAATAATCAAAAATAATATTGATTTATATTTTATGAATCATTAATGTTTTAAGGCCCTTACACAAGTTCGCGCGCTGATGCGATTTTAAATCACCGCGAATGTTCTCCCAAAATTAAGTATGTGCGATCAATCGCGGATGATTGCGGATTTTATTCGTTCGCTTTGCGTAGTGTGAATGGTCTAATTTAATACAATTTGTTTAATTTCAATCGAATGTTCGCAGCGATTTAAAATGGCGTCCGCGAGCGAACTATTCGCCTAGTATGTAAAGACCTTTAATGTTTCATTAGCGGATAATAATCATTAACGTTTTAATGTTTCATTAGCAGACAATAATCATTAATGTTTTAATGTTTCATTAGTGGACAACTATTAATGCGAACATTGATACGTTGTCTGTAATATATCGCTATTATATTTTACCATTTATCAACAATTATTATATTCATAATGACCTTAACGCAGTTTTATATGAGGAACTACACTGCTTGCTTATTGTGAAAATATATATATATATATTTTTTTTTTTCATCAAATTGAATACGTTAAAAAATATATTTCATTTGAATTATAATTTTATGATAAAAGCACTGACCACGTAACTAATTACGTATACATACGTTTTATATGATAAGTTAGTAAAACATAATCATTTAAGTAGAAGAAAAATGCGTTTTAATTTATTTATAATATAATTTGATGTTTGAGTATACTTCTAAAAAACAAGGGTCATTAGTTATACTTATAAGTAAAGCTAGTATTTAAATGACCTAAGAACTATCAAAAATAAAGCCAAAGATGTCTTTTTACCGCTCGAATGTACTTAAAAATAATAAACAATTTTTTTTTTTATTATATTACAAAAATTAATTTAATATACATACACTTTAATAATAATAGTTTTTAATAATTAAAATAATAATAATTTATAGGAAGTTTAATAAATCATTGAAAATGAATACGAAAAAAATAAAAAAAGACTCATTGGCAATGATTTTTTATCAGAAAACATTATATTTAAATTAATAGTGATTCTTCCTAAGTATACAAAATTATATGAACTATGCTAAATTATGAGCATTGCATATGTATTGAAGCTAATAAAATTTTAAATTTCTTGAGATAATATTTTGAATTATCTACCTAATCTTACATTAAAAAAAAAAAATCAAAATATGTGTAAATATGATTTAAAAATTAATAAAATTATGTGAAAAAGTAAAATAAGACTTTTAATTTGAAGTATCTATTAAATGAAATTAATTTTGTTCCTTGAATGCATTGTTCTATACAGTACAAATCAATGCATATTGAACTTTTTCCCAATTCATTATAATATATAGCTTAAGTGAGACTCAATAAGTCACGTTAATCTAGTCATTATCAATAATTATTAGGCAAGTCTGTTAAACAAATTTCAGTGATTCAAATCATTGTATGTAAATATTCTGTGTATAAAATATAGTGTTATACCTACTACCTATATACTATGTATAAATACGGCATATGATCACATGTCACAGCTAGTATAATAAGTTCTTACTAGTTCACCAAATGCAAAATTAAACTATTCAAATCAACTTGTTATTTTATTATTTTTAATATTTTGTTATCTATATTAAACAAAATTGTAATACACTTTTTTTAGTTTGTGAAAAATACATAATAGTAAAAATTAAAATAACTTTAGATAACGACAAGTCGTATAACATCAGTTAAAAATTATTTATTTTTTATTATTTATACTCATTGCTTTTTTTTAAATTTCCATAATAAACTAAAAATATAAATGTAATTACTAATAATAATATGTATTATATTGTATAACAGTGTTTCCCAATCTATAGATCGCGAAATATTTTTATGCGTCACCAGTCGCGACCTTTAATTAAAATATACATAAAAATAATTTCAACAGAAAATTTATGAATGCCTAACTTTTATTTTATTTGATACCTCTATGTATAATAATAATGTGAAATCTTGCTAGTATTATAGATTATACAATGTATATATCAATATATCTTTATTAAGTTTGTATTATATTTTTATCTTATCGGTATACATGCTAATGACTTTCGATGTGGTATCGGTCAATTTTCCATGTAGTTGAGCAATAAGCAATGCATAGAGAGAGTACGAGAGTAGGTACAAACGATAAGTTTTAGTTTACGATTAGACACTCATTTTTAAATACTCAAATTTTATATAATGTATTAAGTTTTAATTTTTCTAATGGATAAATTTATTGTCTGTAAAACCACATCCATTGGTACCAGTCAACCAGTTTCATCACGCAGTTCAGTAAAATACAAAAATTGTTTTTTAATGTTGGCGGGGGAGGATCGCATAACCAATAAATAGTAAATTTATAGTCGCCATTATAAAAAGGTTGGGAAACTCTGTTGCATAGTATACGTTTTAGATTGCAGTTTCAAATTTTAATATATTCTTCAAGTAATAAATATGGTGGTTTGAGTTAGAGATCCTCTGATAGAGACTATCAAGAAAGAATATAGATGCACATTGTACCTAATACCTGGAATAATATATAGAATGATGTTTATTCGTATCCAGTATCCAAACGAGGTACGGTTAGCGCAGCAGGATACCTTTAACAATAAGGAGATGATCACCTGCAAACAATTCTACGAATAATCCAGGTGGGTACATTATATAGGCACTAAGGTACTACTAACAACAATGACACAAAAAT